CCGGTGGGAAGAGGGGCAGATGCAGATGCTTGACTCGATAGTTAGTTGCTTTTCTTGCTTGGCATTGAATTGGATGATTTCTGAAGGTTTGCCAAGTTTGCTTCTTTGGCTTCAGGAAAGGTGTTTGTGCAATCTCTTGTTCTGCAAGCATGGTTTTTGTTAGGGGAACTAAGAGGCCTCAACCTAAAGGTGTTGCTTACAATCGAGCTCCGAGCTATGAGGTATTTGTTCCTTGAATCTTGGGCCTTAAGGTTGATGAGAGCCAGAGCCCATCATCGGTACCCATCCCATCCAAGCAGAGTGATGAGTCATGCAGCGCAGAGACTCCATTGTCAGTCTCTTGGCCCACCAAAAGAGCCATGAAGTTTTTGTCCGAAGCGCGGGTGCTTCGAGCATACAGGACTTCCCTGGGACCCCGAAGCTTCCAGGACTTCCCGAGACTTCTTGGTTTCTCCGGGCATGTCATGCATGTGAGAGCTAGAACTTCAAGGTGTTTTTTTCCGCCAGCAAAGAATGGATTCCATGGATAATCCTGTCTTAGAGAGTGCCAGATGAACACACATAATGTTGAACAAGCCCATTTGCCCATTCACAGTGAAGATTGGATGACTTGTATGATTTGTGATGCAACTGAATGCCACACCGCGAAGTATCACCAGCATCCTTGCTGGCAAGAGTTTTAGAGCATTGCATCCTGCAGAAAGGTAGAGAAGAGATCAGATGATGTAGAAAAATACGTCAAGCGAAAAGGAACAAGCACTAAAGATTCTTGTAGAAGTGCTGAAGTGCTGGTTTTTGAGTTTTGCAAACGGTCGGAAGCTGTTGAGTTCCCGCCCTCCAACGATCGCCGAGGTTGGGGACTTGGACGAGTTTGATGACGAGTCGTTGCTGCGCCTGGTCCAAGCGTTCACGTACTTGGAAACTCGAAGGTCCAGGTGAGGAAAAAGCTGTTTCTGGATTCTACGGCATGAATATATATATATATTATATATATATATATGCAGTAATTATTTAGAAGAAACACATATACCACGCATGTTGAATACTCTTAATATGGCTTTCTTGTGGTTGGATGTTCACTCAAGAGGGTGGTTAAGCCGCATGGAGAGAAGCGAAAAAAGGGTTATACAGGCCTCTTAGAGCAGCACCAGCACGCGGGCAGGACCACAGAAGCCGGGGTGTGCGGCACACCCTCTTCGTCAGATGCCAAGGATGCCCCTGAACCGCCAAAGGCGCAGGAGGTGGACGTGGCAAAGACTCTGCCAGCCAAAGAGCCAGCAGCGGAGGTCAAACCGAGCCAGGCTCACAAAGCCGCCTTCCGAGTACCAAGGGCAACCTGGCCAAGCTTGAGGTTCAAACGAAACGGACCATGACGTATCATTGAGTCGAGAGTTGTACAGCCTGGTTGAACAGTTGAATCATGTTGACAATGAGTAAGCAGGGAGCCCGGCTAGAATGATGACGGTTGCAGTTCCGTTTAACTCTTGTAAAACTACATTGATCTATATAATTCTATATATATAGGTTATAAATGTATATATGTGTGTGTTTCTCGCTGTTGGCAGAGAGGCATTTGTTTGATGGAAGTGTCGAAGAGAAAGTTCCGAGTTGCCAGAAGTTACGCATCCACAAAGCATCACATCATATCACATCAACGGACGAAGCACGTCAACTGATCCTTCCGAATTGACGTGTTTCAAGAAATCAAACCAGCACCAACAATGTCTACTGCATCACAAAACCATCCTCAAGCAATCCATCTTCACCAGAAAGGACACACAACCTCTATAGTCTTGCAAAATCTTGCAAATCTCCACCTGCCGGCTCTGCCAGAGGATGACCTGGTATGGTAGTCATGCTTGTGGGAGTACACACGCGTGTACTGATGATCTTTGATGTGTCTCTACATTTAATCCAGCTCATGCGCCGTTTTAATGCCACATATCAACTTATGGTTTACCAGCTCCTGGCATGTTTTGGTCTACTTCCAGCATCTTCTGGCCATGAAGATCCAAGGCAACTTCAGTTTTCGATGACCTGGGTACCCTGGAAAGTGCTTTGATGCAAAGCAATGTTTTTGTTTCTTTTCTTGTTTGACTCCTGCCATCTCCTGCCCCCTACATTACTTCGAAGATAAAGCGAAAAACTGTTCAGCAAATCGAGGAGTTTGTTGAGATTTTGATGAGTATGCTTTGTTTGCTCCAGAAGCTTGTTAGAGTGGCATCGGTTGTTTTTTAAGGGTGGGTGTTGCAAGTCGTTGACAGGCATGGCAGATGTACTGAGCAACGTGGAGGCAGTGAATCGCGATACCAATCTGGAATCACCTTCATCAGGCACAGCGGTTGACTGCGACATCTACAGCTTGTACAGCTCATGCCCTACATGTTTGTGCTAGACCTTCAAGATCCTTCAAGCGATTCAAGCAGGTGTTTGCGATTGCATGTCAGTGTAAGAGGGATAGGAGAGTGCGGGCCTTTGTAATCCCTACAGATCCCTAGAGCAATGAGTGAGCGCCTTCCACCCCAACGGGAGCCTTGGATGATGTTCATTCCATGGCAGATGAAACGCCGTCATGCCAAAGCCATTTCTTTGCAGAGAGTGCTCACATGTGCTCACGGTCAGAAAGAGGCATGAAGAATGAGCAATGAAGGATAATGACGCGTGCAAGAAGATCATGCCATAATCACATATATAATATATAGTCCAATCCCTTTGACGCTGGTGTTCTGCAAGTTTGTTCCAAAGGTCATCACAGTTTTGTAGGCATATAAAGTGTGGTCAGAATATGGTAATGGTGAACACGTGAAGAAATGTAAGCAGATATATAACTGTAAATATAGCTCGGCAAAACAGCCGATGCCTCAAACAAAAGGCAAGACACAGACAATGTCAAAGAGAAAGTAATCAGGAACTCCAAGAAACGATTTTGCCAAAGGAACCTCAGGAACCTCATTTCTACTGCAAAATCCATGCATCGCTTCCAGCATTCGGCTATTCTGTGCCGTCACTTGGAGTCACAACGGGTCAAGGAGAAGTGGCCCACGGGGCGTGGGGATGTGCATGGCATTGTGGAGGCCAATGACTCCATGATGCTCAAGGGCAGCATTTCTGTTGATGGAAAGACATGGCAGCTGCCTGAAGTCTTGGCAGAAGCTATTGAAGTTCCACCAAGGCCAGACTTAGAACATAGTGCTCCCCTCTTTGATGTGACGGACGTTTGTTGTGCAAACATCGACACCTTATCAGCTGCTTTGGTTCTGGGAGATGCCTGCGCACTCAACTTTGCCAGTGGAGACATTCCAGGAGGGAGGTATCGAAGCGGCGGTCTCGCACAGGAAGAGGATCTTTGCCGCTTGTTGCCACAGCTTTATCCATCACTGAAGTCCAGCCAGTATCCCATCCCACCGGGAGTTGCGTTGCTTACGCGGGGCCTTGAGTGTGTGCGACGTCCTGGGAGTTATGTGACCTGCCCTGCGTTAGGCACGGTGACCATTATCTCAGCTGCTATGCCAATCGGCCCTGATCGTCGACCTAAGGGTGGCTGGGCCTCTTCTGACTGGGCTGAATCTGTCACTTTACGCATCCGTTCGGTCCTGCATGCGGCCAAGCACTCGGGCCATGCCAATCTGATTCTGGGTGCCTTTGGTTGCGGTGCATTCGGAAATCCCACCCGTCCGGTGGCCGCCCTCTTCCGGGAGCAGCTCATGTCGAGGGAGTTCCGCGGAACCTTTGCCAAGGTGGTCTTTGCCATCATCGACCCGGTGGGCACGGGGAATTTAAAGCCGTTCCGCGAGGAGATCGCGCAGATTCGCCAAGACCAGGTTTCGCTGGGAACCGTATGTGAGCATGTGGTGGAGCTGGAGGAAGGAAAAGGTTCTTTTGAATTCGCTGAGCGCCAGAAATATCAAGAGTCATTCTAGTACCTTACAATCGTCATAGCCAGCACGGATAGCTCAGATATGGTACGTTGGCGTGTTTTGCCATTCAAGTTCGAATCAACCTGCTCTCCATTGCATTCCCCCCCTTCTATGCCACAAGCATCCACAAGCTAACGACGGCCCTCCCAAGCTTTTTCACCGTCAGGCTGCCAACTAGAAGCTCAGGGCACCTCAGAAATTCTGGATGGTGCAGAGGTCGGGATGATGCGCACCAATTCCACGGCCCTGTATTCCCTGTGTACGGCTGATGCTTTGGAGGAAAGTTCCCCGAAACTGTGTTCGGTTTGTTTTCCGCTGAAAGCTGGTCATGACACGGGCGATTGTGGACTGGCACGGACGAAACACGCTGGATGACAAGGACATGGGACAAACAAGGACCAACTATAATATGATAGTGGGTGGTGCTGGTGCTTAGCTGCCAACCTTGAAACTTGAGGTCCTCGCTGAGATTGAGAGGAAATTTGTCCAGCAACGGAAGACTTGTGAAGCCTGCAACGGCACGGGTGGTTGCCCCAGATTTATACGATTGGCACGGGTACACAAGTGTTCAACAGGCAGATGATACCTTCAATGCAGCTCCAAGAAGGAATATTCTTTGTACCAACTAGCAGACAGGTATGGGCTTTACAGTGCTTTTTGCGGACTGACCATGGACCATGGCTAGTTCCCAATCATTGCCATGCTGATCCGGTAAGACCATCAAACGATCAAACGCGTTTTTTTTCCATATGTGTGTGACGTTCATCAGATACTCCGGGACGGATTTTGCGGTCGAACAAATGTCAAGTATGATCCTTCGCCCAAGGCTATGTAGGCCTATTTGGCGCTACTGGTGACTCGCCCAGCAACATTATGTATGTATAGAATCAGCATTCAGTTCCTCACTGTTCACACCTCCAGCCACAGCCGAGGCTTTGGATTTTTCCAAACAAAATGCAGCAGCTGCAGCAAGTGACGTAAAAAAGGAATCGACTCCAGAGTTATTGGCAGTGGCTGCAGGATTCATTGTATGGCAAGAACGATTAACCAGGCTCAGACATGCTTGCTGGTGCTGATGTCCAGGTCTGTCGTGGTTTGCCAGTGGATGCATTGCAGGCGGCAACACGCGCAGTGGAGGCAACGCCTTCGATCCGTAGATCTTCGGTTTCCATATTTTGGAGACTGCATGTCGATGCCAAAATTCCACTGGATGCCGCCTTTTTTCGAGAGCATCCGATGAGAGCAACGATTCAGAGAATTGATGCAAGCATTAGACTGCTTTTGTGTTGCAAGCGCGTGAATGTGCAGTGGTCAATGAACAAATTCTATTGGATGCGACAACCAGGCATGTTCCGTTTCAAACATGGTGATATAAAACATGATAAAACATTTCTATACATTGTTGATCATTGTTGCAATAATCGAGAACATCGGGAAACACATGAGCGACGGACAAAATTATTGGCTGACTTATTCAGTCACGGCATGACCCTAAACCTATGTTGAGGGCTTTGTTTCTGTGGAAAACGATATGGTCCCCACCAAAAACGATAATCTTGTTAAGATGTAGTGGGTACAAAGATGTTTGTGGTTACCAGATGCGATTGCATTTGCAAGTTTATTTGAGCATATTTGAGCTAAACCGATGGGCACCTCTTTTCATCAATGGTAATCCCAGACAACTTCCCAAACGATAATCCAAACGATAAGCGAACGATAACCTAAATGTCACGCCAGGCACTCCGTAGACCTACTTCTCCACATTACTAGTGTTGGTCCGAGCTACTAGGTCCCCGCTTATCTTGTGATCCTTGCACAGCTCGGTGCCACAAGAACCCGAGTGCATAAATCAAGTGCTGTGCCATTCCTGTGCAGAAAGCACTGTAAGCCTCTAATCTGAGGTTGTGAGTCATATTTTGTGTTTTAGCCTATGTGCTGGTATGCTATGCTAACTACGGTTTGGAGAAACATTGGAGAACGATATGGACCCCACCAAAAACGATAATCATGTCAAATGGTATTGCGCTACACAAGTAATTTTGTCCGCTGCTCACATGACTGAACAATAATGCTTAAGAGGATGTTCCCGGTGTGGCAAGGCGTTCAGAGAAGGTGGAGATTTGGCTGGTCTGGCCTCCGCCCTTCGAACGTTGGGCTGCCCAGTTGCGAGGTCACACGACTACTGTTTTGAAAAAATAACTTGTTTGGCTAGAAAATTTCATGTTTTGTTCATACTATATCCCTCAGAAAACTGCATATATGCATGTATACTTGCATGTATATATATATATATTATATGACTATATTATAGAAACTGCACTGGTATGAAACTGCATATAATAAGCCGCATATTGTAGATACATTGTATTATACAGATGGTTTACCGAGGCTCGCTTCAGCTCACTTGCAGAAGAGGCTTCCGTCACAATGCTGGATGTCATGGCACATGCACGTTGCCATCCAATGCATGTTTGTATCACTTGGGAGGTCGTCACATCAAGCTGCTTCTGTGCAAGCCTCAAGGATTGCTCAAAGCACTCGAAGAAATTGAATGCACCAATTCAACCTCTAGCATTGGGCAGTTGCAATGCTTCGAGCTCTTGACTTGGCCCAACCAGACCCAATCAAATTTATATAGTTCAAGTGATGCACCGCCAAGGCGGCTGAGGAGTCCAGGACTCAGTCATAGGAGTTCCCGTTTTTGTCAGGTTCATGTTCATGTTGGATATTATTGCAGACTTCCCTCCTGGGGCCCTTGGTTCGACTGTACATGGGCATGGGTCAAAAGCCCAAACCATCGCAGACTGACCTCCCTGGTAGTCCAGTGTCAGTTCAATATGAGGATCAAGCAGGATTCTTTGGGCGTAGACTCACAGCAGGATCTTTTGGCGTTCATCACGTTTTTTTTATGTTTCTTCTCGAAGCTGAGGTCCTCCAGCATATTCCGTGAGCTTGGAGACCGTGCGGCCGAGGCAAAGGAGAGAGTAGTGATAAGGTGTGTTCGCATTCGTCTTTAGAGCGGGTGTATACAAATAAGTATACATAGAACAGTCTCAGATTTGAGATGCCAAGACCAAGGGGTGATGCCAAGACCGTGACGCACGGGTGAACCGCTTCACATCCAAATGGTCGTCCAATGGCGTCCAAACGGGCACTCGTCAGTAAGGTGGGAGGAAGGTTGTGTTTCCACTTTCTCTTCACGTTTGAACTCGGTGGAGTGAGGGTAGTATTTCCAGAAGCCCTGGACGCCCTAGACACCCTAGACTCCACTCCAAGCGGTGATGCAAGAGTTTGCCAACGGCCTATGCGACTTCTGTAGCAGGTGTATAAATATGACGACCTTGGCACCTTTGAAAGTCACATTGTCAAGGGTCTGAAGTGGTACCACTTATTATTGCATTTGTTCTGGAAGAGCTTATCAGGTCGAGTCATTGCTGCAACTTGCGGTTGCGCACTTGGAGGCTAGAATTGGATTTTGTGGACTTGTCACAGCCTGTCCTTGTGCTTCTCCCAAGTTCCAACATTACAATGTATTTTGAGGAAGGCTGGTGGATAGGACACTTCTGCATGCATACATGCGTGCCCAAGAACAAAATCGTTCACAGCGACGGTTGCCACTTGTTGAGGCGGGTTCTCAGCAAGATGCTTCAGCCGCTGCCAAGCGCGCGTCACGACCTCGGAAACCTCACACCGTCCAAGCAGGCGCTGCAAGCCTTTGGACACGGAGCCATTGACCAGAGTCGCAGGAGATGTGCCATTTACCTGACCTAGGCAAGAGCTATGCAAAACCATTAGCGATTCCCGAGGGCACAATATATCGCTTAGCCCTCAGTATATAAATGTTTGCCAAGAAGACTGAAATATTCACAACATGAAACAGCCCAACCATTTGCTCCTATGTGCATGCCTTCCTGCTGGATGGTTGCTTTCTTGCTTACGAAACTGGAAGTTTGTTCCGTAGGTGTTATCTCCTGTCTTTCGCCACATGAGAGTTCTTTGAGCACAGATGGGTTGTACTTTGTATACTTTGTATACGACAGCTAGTCAAAGTAGAATCGTAGAATGAGGCGGGAGCTCCTGCAAGTAGCACGGACGCCTGGTGCAGCATGGACTCCTTGTGTGTGTTTCATGCCTATGACGAAAGTAGCAACAGCAGTAGCGCAGCAGTAGCGGTCATTAGTCATTGTTTCGCCAGTTATTGTTTTTCGGGTTCCATTGAGGGTTCGATAAGCGACGTTTGGAAAGCTAGTCCTCCAAACCTACGCTTGAGCACAATGCTTGTGACTGCACAGACCGAACACTTTGACAAAGAGTTTCGAAGCGGCTTGTGGGTCTTGGGCTAAGAATTTGACAACGGTTCGGAGAGATGCACTGCAACTAGGCGAAAGAAAAATGCGCAAGCGTGCGATTGAAATTGGAAATGGTTGTCCTGCTGGGCCTTAGGTGCCTGGAAAGGGGATGGCTGCTAAGATTGCGAGTGGCATAGGAGGAGCGTTCAACTCGCGCCCGCACACCCATGCCAAAGACCCCTGCACGACTAAAGTGCTACGGTTACGCCATTAAAATATGTGGAGGGCGGCCCAGGGTTAATCCTCCCAAAATTGTGTATAATTCCTATTCTGTCCGTATGTTTGGGGCGACGGGCGGCTCCGCATATTTAAATGTGCAGTTCCTTCATCATTCACAACAATAAAAACACAGCAGTTTTTATCAAAGCGCCAAAGCTTCCATCCCACACCCCTCCACAAAGCGCCCAAAAAAAGCCCACTAGGTCACTAGGAAAAAAAGAAACAGCAGCGCCAAAGCCCCCACATAGCCCCACATGGTGGTAACCATTCATGTAGCCACACCCTTCCACTAAGCCCGCCACATCCACATAACCCCACCAGGCTTTTCACGCAGTCACCAAACCTTGCGCCCGCCAAAAAATAGACCGAAGCCAAAGCCTGTATACGTGGCCTCCGCATAAGGCAATTAAGGCCTCCACGGAAGCTCCAATCCCCACAACCTCTTCTCCACGCAGACAAATTGAGGCCTTCTTCTAGCCCGCCCAAATTCTCCATATAGCTCAACTAAGGCCCGCACGCCCAAACCAAACCCTCCATGTAAGGCCCTCCCACCCAAGCCCTTTGCATCACCATTCAGCCAAGGCGTCCAAATAAGCCTCAAGGGACAAACTATAAGGCTTACACATAGACTAACTGAGCTCATGAAACCCTCCATGTAAGGCCCTCCCGCCAAAGGCCTCCCGTAAGGCCAGGCCCCCACGTAAGGCTAGCCAAGGCCTCCACATAAGGCTGGCATAAGGCCAGCCAGCCGTAAGACCAGTCAGGGCCTCCCCGTAAGGCCAGTCAAGGCCTCCACATAAGGCCAGTCATGCCTCCACGTAAGGCCAGCCAAGGCCTCCACGTAAGGCCTTGGTTGGCTTCCACGTAAGGCCGGCCAATAAGGCCAATCAAGTCCCCTAAGGCCAGCCAAGGCCTGCACGTAAGGCCAATCAAGGCCTCCACGAAGGCCAGCCAAGCCAAGCCTCTTTCCCTAGACCCACACGTGGACCCCCTAGGTGGACTCTCTGAATTTCCTTACGCGGACCTACCCGTCCCTCGACGCGTGGACTCTCTTACGTGGGCCCTACCTAGCTGGACCCTCCACACTGCTTATGGGCCCTCCTTACGTGGAGCCTCCTTTCCAATTCGTTTTCCAATGTGGACCCACCTACGTGGACCCTATACGCGCCCCATCCTACGTGGAGCCCTTACGTGGACCCTCTTACGTGGACTTAGCTAGGTGGACCCCCTTACAACAACACACCCTGCTTGCGTTCCTTATATTCTTAGCTGGACCCCCCATACGTGGACCCCCTTACATGGACCCTTTCACGTGGACCCTACCTAGGTGGACTCCTTTCCTGGACGTCCCTGTACACTGCGTGGACCCTCCATACTCGTACGTGGACCCCCTTACGTGGAATCTCTTACCTGTACCCTACCTAGCTCCTTACGTGGGCCTTCCTTATATAGGCCCACCATACGTGGACCCACCTTACGTGGATCCTCTTTCCATCCACCCGCATAAGGATAATCAGCGGTGAAAAATTGTGTGAAATATTCTAGGAAGTTCGTTTCCGCATATATTTTCCGCATGTTTTAATGGCTGGGCGGCCCCGGCAGATCCTTCACGGAGGTACACTAAAATACCTGTTCGGCTATTTTAAAATCCGCATCTTGTATTGTAGCAACCGTAAAGCTTTTAGGGAGGTCGCACCATATAGAAGTCTTCGGCAACTTGGATAGTACTGTATAAGATGACCTTGAGGGCGGCCTCCGGTTCACAAAAAGAAGGGGATTTGGAAGGCCAGCAGGGGCGGCTTTCAGTAATTCTTGGTGCGTTCATTCAGTTTTGTCATTGTTTTTTGTCCAGGAGAGGAAGTGCGGAAGCACAAGTGGTTCCCTCAAGTCCAGCCAAGGACCCTAGTGAGCCACCATGCTGTTCTTCAGATGCTCGGGAGGTTGTTTGACACGTGACTGTGGGAAAGGACATTGCCAGATGTAGCAGCTGTGATCGGTTGTCATTTTGCTAGCTATGTTACAATCCGCTGATGCTACGATGTTATTCTTCCGACTCAACTGTTCATCTTGGGCGTAAGGCCGGAGGTGGTGTCAGCGTCTCAGAAACAAGAGGCACTCGGCGGTTTGGGTTTGTTACTCTTCATGTGGACATTTGCATTTTGTGGATGTCAAGTCCAGTGTAGAACAGGAGCAACAGATCCGCGACCGACGCTTTGGTTGAGAGCTTAGGGCTTTAGACTTTACTGACTTCAGGGCTTGGATCTTGAGATGTTGTTTTTGTATCATCATTATTGAGCAGTGACAAGAGAAGGCCGCAGCGCTTCATTGTGCACTACTCCAAGATGTTGTCCCAAGGTCAGGCCGTTCCTTTTCAGAGAAAGCCAGCTTCTCAACTGTTTTGATGCTGGATTCAGAACCTGCTTGAACTAAAACATGATGTAAAGGTGTATATATAAATAACTATATATGTTTATTGGCCAAGGCCATTCCCTTGGAATACCAAGCAGCCCAATGTCCACATCTCAGATCACACCTTGGTTCCAGTGAAGCTTTTCTTGTGTATAGTCAAACATGAACCCTCTACGCGAACCTCCCGGTTGCTGTAAGCCATGAGGGTTGAGAGCAGCCACACTGGTGCCGCAGGGCTAAACATGCAAAAGGAATGCCGCTCAATAGTTTGACTTTGTGGCGCGGGAGGAGGTTTGGAGGGCGCTGCCCCAAAAAACACATTGGAAGCTACTGAGCTGTTGCCCCTTTCTTGCCTGCTTTCTTTATTGTTTTTTGGCACGCCTCTCTTTTCCTTCTTTCCTACCTGTTTTCCTTCCGCCTTGCTGGGTGCTGCTTTGCTTCTTGCTTTTCAGTAAAATAGATAAGCAACAAGACGGAAACGAGAAGAGCAGCGAAGCAAGAAAAGGCATAAAAGCAAAGTGGCAGAGAAGCAGGAAAGCAAGGAAGCAGAAAGGTAGCGAAGCAAACGACCAGAGAAGCAATGGCCGGCGAAACCCAGGGAGTACAAACAAAGTCGAAAGACTCATTGAATTGATGCCTTCATAGCACTCTTTCTAAGTAGAGCAATTATGAGGGGCGATTGGAGTGTTTATCTCAGCTGTTTGTGAAGGGTTAGTTGACATCTTGGCATTTCCTTCCATTTAGTGGGGTCGTTGAGATGCTTGGACGTGGGGGGCGGTTCGATAAAGCGGGCGGTTCGATGAATGAAGGGCTTGGAGTGTTTTGCTAAGAGGTTGGGGTCTTCGGTGAGTTTTGTCAGCAGTCATGCATACTCCCCTAGTTTTGCACCCATCAACAGTTCACAACCATACTTACTACCCAGGCCCTTCGCTAAAGCCCTCCTGCACAAGACCCTTGAAATGCTCTAGTTGCATTACATAGTGCATACTCCTCAAGCGGCAAGCATTGAAGGCGCCAGCACAGTGTCCTCAGTCAAACCCTGTAGGTCCCCGAGAACCCTGCCAACCTTGAGCGGTTTTGCTGTTCTTTCTCGTTGAAGCTAGCCTGAACAAGTCATCGAGTTGTTCACACCATGTTTTGCTTTGCATTCAGTGACAAGCTTTGAGGTGCAAAGTGATGAGAAGAACTCAGAAGAAGTAAAGGAAGAGAAGAAAGAAAATCAGGATAGCTGCAAGAAAATCGGTGTTGTCCAGGTTCCTTTGACCACCAGGTGGCAGAGACTTGAGCCACTTGCCAATGCAGAGAGGTGAAGAGCTACGTCTAGTTAGGCATTCACTTGTCAAGCACGATTATATAAGGCAAAACTGCACTGCAAAACCCCAAAATACGATCTTACAGGAACACAGACCAATGCTCAGCATTTGACGGCTGAAAGCACTCAATGCCCCAAAGCGACTGGCAAAAGAGCAGGAGCCAAAGAAATTCTCCTGGAGCGATGCTATGCCTACACCACTTGAGCGAGGCCGTGGGAGAGAATTGATGATCGAATGCTTTCTAGGGAGTCGCCTGGGTGTCGAACACTTTTACACAATCACAACTACTTGGAAGCCTGAGTCCATGTCATAGGCGGTTTACGAACAAAAACTGCTTTACTAGTGGATTTGCAGCTCGCAGAAGCTAATCAGCTAATCCAATAATCATTACGGTGGTTTATGTTGAGCATGATGGTGGGCAGTTTGTGACTGTGATTCAGATGTAGGCCAAACAAGAGCTCGAGCGATAGTGCAGGTAGTGTGGATGGCTGGCAGTGTGGACAGTGTGGGATGATTTTCACTGACCCCGAGGATGGAGAACTCAACTTAGCTCAAAAAGAGCCTTGGAATTGAGACTGGCAAGAGGCACCTTTCCATCCTAAGACACCCGCTTTCACGACGTGAATCCACTCAGGCCAGAACCGGAGCCGATGGCGATTTTGCCTGGTTTTGCCGGACATGCTGGCGTCACTGGCCACAGTCCTAGAGACCTCCCAGAGATGTGAAAGACATGGTGGCTTAAGTGCGCCCAGGGTGGATGACCATCTACGGCGTGCACGTGCAGCCCAACAATCAGGACGGGGACCTTCAATCTGAAGAGAAACAGTGTCGGGAGGCCAAACGTATTCACTGTGGGTAGGCGCTCTCACGCATTCAATTTAACTATATACTGTAAGACTGTATGTATGTGTTGTTGTTAGTTGTTTGATATTTTTATGATGTTCCTAACGTGTTTTGGCATGCCATATGGATTTTGTTGAGCCTCTTTCTAGTTTGAGCTGTGCAACGTTTTTTCTTCGATGCTGCGGCCGTTTAGGAGTCGAGACTGGAAATGGCAAAGGCCGATGGCAGTCCGTTGAAACGGTGACAGGATGGCAGTCATAATGGATGCAGATGGATGGAATGGGGAGACAGTATATGAATACATATTATAAGGCGGCGAGATCCTATATTGTATATAGTTAAATCAGCTGCTTTCAATCGCTGAACATGCTCAAGCACTGGACTGGACATGGGGACTGCACCTTCGGGAGAGTTTGCTGCAGACTTCAGTGCCGGAGGAGCCGGAAGGATGGCTAGCGAGCACAGGCCACCGCAAAGGCAAGAAAGCAATGTTTTGCCATGCCAGTTCTGAACATGGTCAACATGTGACCAACCAACCTGGAAGGATCTGGAAGGTATGGATTACTGGATGTTGCAATCCAGACTGATTCATTGATTTACGCTTATATCTTTTGGTGGATGCGGTGGATTTTCTGATTTGGGTTGCAGATGTTATAGAAGTAGAGTCAGTAGGGGGTACAGGTGTTCTTTGTTTGACCGCTCATCAGCAGAGAAAAAGAAGAACTGAGACCGTGAGGGTCACACGCGCTGCGATGTGAGGCAGCCAGAGATGAAGTGGCTGAGTGCAGAGGAACTTCAGAACTTGAGTCTCATTGAGTTGGAAGCTCAACATTCAGGACAGTAAGCTCAACATTCAACAGAGCACGCGCTTTTAAGCGTGGGCGGCAGCTTCTCGGTGGCGGGTTGTGGCTTCATTTCACCAAGGTTGTACAAGCACGCTAGGGCCTGCGGCGCCGGTCTGAGATATCTAGTTTGATCCTGTCATGAAGCATTTGGAGTTGGCACCTGGCCCTCACTAGGCCTGCCCGGCCAGAGCAGCCTACCATCCGTACAAGCATAGAAGTTCCTTGCAATCACCCATGTGCCCTCAGTCGCTGCAGCACTGAATGTTGACACATTGACATATTGGCCTGGTTCCCTGGCCCAGGCGCAGACTTCAAGCTGCTGAGCATTGCCATGGATAGCCGCTTGGGTGCAAGAGTTGTTCAATTTAATAATACCAATTTTGAAGAAGATGTTCAATTGCGTTTCCCACCCCCAAATGTTGAGAATCTGGATCAAAATAATCAGGTGACAATCCAAAAATTGGCTTACTACAACTATTGACTTCAAATGAACAAAAAAAATATGATTATCATTATATATCGAATATAATTGAATTATGTAGATTTCTTATTATAAAGAAAAGAAAGGCAATGAAGAGACAAAAGAAATATATATAATGTCAATAGGGATGAGGTCCCAGTATAGTTGCTATACAGGTACATGCCATATACTTTTGGCTCAAGTGCCCAACCAGGTAAAAAGGAGCTTTAGCGCGCGAGCTTCATGTTGAACTAAGGGCTAGAACGGGGCCAGGGCACACTTTTCATCCGTTCGCAGGTTATCAGCCGTATCCAGACTCCTTTGAGCTGGGTACGAGCTACGGCCTTACACAACACCATCTAAACGCACACGCATCGGATAGATCAGTTACCCTCAGTCACTGAAGATGGACCAATCCGACGCCAGCACTGCATCTTTTGGAGCAGCTGCTGCGGCCGCAGATCGGATGAGTGCATCCCACAACTCTAGTCCAGGTACGATCGAAGCGGAGACTCTGACAGTGGTGAGAGAAGTTGCGACAGGTAGAGCACGAAGTCGTTCCCCGTCAGCGCAATCGACACCACCGGGGGGGACACCGAGGTCAGGCCGTAGCCCTAGGGAGACAAGGAGGAGGACTGACACCGGAGCGGTGAGAGTGTTAGCATTGGAGGATGGGTCAACTGTACCAGTACCGTCGGACAGCGAAGCTGGAGATGGAGCAAGGGCAAGCACTGACAACCTACAACTAGCACGGGCCGATGGAGACCTCAATGCGAAGTGTGCACAACTACTTGCCGAAGTGCATATGTTGAACCACCAAAACGCATGGATGGTCGAATGTGAGCAGAGACAGAACCAGATTATACAACACGAGACCGAAGTCCACGAAGTAGTGATGGCACACCTCGAAGAATGTTATGTCGAAGGATATGGAAATCAACGAAGAATCTCCCAACTTACAGAATCCAGAGACTGTTTGCTCTCAGCAGCACACGATTTGCAATACCAGATTGACACTGATCGTGTGGCAATGCGGGATCGTCTCACCCAGTTAGGGGAGTACGCTGATCGCAACAGCGCAGAGATGGTTAGTCAAGTTGTGAACATCGGCACGGAAGAGATCCAGGCTATATCGGCCGAAAGAGATCGAGCCGTAACCGAGGTCATGACTACAATCGCAGATGCTGAGAACGTCAAGGACCTGTGCAGGCAGGAGTTAGTTGGAATACAAAGGCAGAGTGCCAGAAACAAGCACGAATATGCTGAAGAGATGAAGATGAGGGAAGCAATGTATACAAGCAAGATCAAATGGTTATCAGAAGAGAATGAGGAGCTCAACAACCGATCTAATAATCAGGACAATTTCATCATGACCATCAGGGAGCAACTGAAGAAGGCGAACGAGGAGTTGACACAGGCGAGGATTCAAGGATCCGATCGACTGTCTCAACCATCCAACGCCGAACTCAAGAAAGCCGAAGTCAAGGTGAACATGTTGGAAGAAGACATTCTACGTAAAGAGAGGATGCTGAAACGTCTTCAGGAAGAATTGATCGAGTCAAGCGCAAGTGAAGCACAACTGAAGGTCGCACTGAAGTTGAAACCACCAGACATGGGATCAGAACCCAATGTGGAGAGCGAGATGATGACCAAGCTTAGAGCGGAACTTGGACGTACCGAAAAGTCATTAAGAGCCGAGGAGAAAGAGGCAATGGAGTACTACGAAGGTATGATGCAGAACCAACAGGACATGATGGAATTCGAAGCGCATGCAGCACGGCTCAGAGATGAGAGGAATAAGTACCGGAGGAGGTACGAAGAGGAGCGCGTGAATGCTGAGAATGCAGCCGCAACCGAACATGGTGCCGCCTCATCCTCTAGCTCGGGTGGCTCCAAGATATCTCGGAAGGAACACGAGAAGATTAACATCCCTGCATGGCCCAAGATACACGACCTGGAGGTTTGGAAATCCCAGGTTGTAGCGGCAGTCGTGACGGCATCGGGCGACGAAAGACAAGAAGACTGGATCCAGTGGCTCTCGGATGCCTTCAGATCACCGTATGACCCATTTCTGCTCGAGACATCAGGCGAAGCAAGATTCGCTAGCATAGACGCTAAGCTAGGTATCACCCTACATACGATCATCCACGCAGCAGGTGAGAGATCTCATGACGTACAACTGAAGGTGAGGCAGATGATGCAGAGACGTGCGAGAGGCACCACTCCTGGAATGGTCAAGGGACGTGAAATGTTAGCGTTGATCGTCGATAGCTTCCGGAGTGCCGACAACGTCGACGTAATGTATGCATCCAAGCACTTATTCGATCTAAAGTTCCCTGGGGATAATCAACTATCCAGATTCCTTGGACAGTGGGATGAGATCATATCAGGTATGGATGCGGATGACATGCTTCCTGACAAAGCACTCCGCAACCTGCTTTGGGACAAGATTAAGGATTCCAAAGTTATGGCGTTAGACTTGTCCGTGTACGACAACATGTTGGATAAGGATCCGGATAAGACCTATCAGAAGTTACGAGAAATCATGGCGAAGTGGATACGGAAATCAATCGAGACCACAAACAAGAAAGAAAGGGAAAAAGCTTTTGGGAACCTCGTGAAAGCCACACCAGCGGCGGAGAAGAAGGACCCGAAAGCGAAACCCAAGAATACCAAGGCCGATCCACCGAAGCATGACGCCGCTCCAGTACTTCCTCAGGCTAATCCGAAGGACCACAACAAGAAGGACAAGAAGCAGGATCGTGGAAGATCAACCACGAAGAGCCCAAAGGGGGATCGTGGCAGGTCAGCGACTCCAGCAGATACGTCCAAGATAGGATGCGCCTTCCACTTCCATGGGAAAAACGGATGTTCTAGAGGAGACAAATGCAAGTTTAGTCACCAAGAGAAGCACAAAAGTTCTGCTAAGAAACCAGAAAGCCTCAAGGGTGACAGATCAAAGAGTCCTGGTGGCAGGAGCAGTAGCCCTAAGCCAATGAAGGATCAGGTCTGTTGGAATTGGCAGAAAGGATCGTGCAAGTTCGGGGACAAATGTCGACGTCAGCATCACGCTGCTCCTGCTACAAAACAAGAAGCTAAAGGCAAAGCCAAGCCCAAACCGGCTGCGCCAGCCTTCATGCTTTGCGGAGACATCGAGAGTGATGGCGAGGACGTGCAACCCGCACTTCCCAACGTACAACAAGGTAAGCTGGCGCTTCGCTTTAAAGTCAGATTCGATGACCGGGCGAATGTGACCACGTTTACCTGCGATCCTGGTAACGAGCTAAACACCCGTCCCCTCAGGAAGAAAAAGAATGAGGTGCAGAAGTTGGATACCCAGCTCATTTCGTCGTTGAGAGCCCTCAGAGTGAGCAATATAGCTGCACGAGTAGCACGTGCCAAAGGTAAGATGATGGAGCTATACTCTGCTGAACACATTGCCAAGGCATGGATACAAATCACTCAAGATGAAGGAATCGAGGTGAACGTCGACCTGTCTGACTTCAACA